TTGGGGTCCATCTTCTATTCCTAATGTTTCAGGGGCTCGGTGGTTTGTTTCATTAATTGATGATTGCACACGTGTAACGTGGCTGTTTTTAATGAAACAAAAATCTGATGTCAGTAATATCATTCCCAGCTTTCATTCCATGATCCAAAATCAATTTGGGGAAAAAATAAAAACCTTTAGGTCAGACAATGCTAAGGATTATTTCAATCAGGTTTTATCACCTTATTTTCAAAAAGAAGGATTATTCACACTTCTTCCTGTGTGGAAACACCTCAACAAAATGGCACAGCTGAGAGGAGAAATGGGCATCTATTGAATGTTACTAGAGCCTTGTTGTTTCATGGGAATATGCCTAAATGTTACTGGGGGGGAAGCCATTTTAACAGCCACACACATGATAAACAGACTACCCTCACGTGTTCTTAACAACAAAAGTCCTATGGACATCCTAAAAACCCATTATCCTCACTTCCGAACCACAAATGGTCTCATTCCTGGAATATTTGGATGCACAGCCTTTGTACATGTCCACCGACCAAATAGAGGAAAACTAGATCCCCGCGCAATAAAATGTGTGAAGAAATGCTATGAGAGAAATTAGAGGCACTGGAAAAAAACCGTACATGGGAGATAGTGGAGAAGCCAAGAGGGAAAAACATAGTTGATTGCAAATGGGTCTTTGCATTAAAGTACAAGGCTGATGGATCACTCGAAAGATATAAAGCAAGATTAGTGGCAAAAGGGTGTACTCAGACCTATGGGGTGGATTATCAGGAAACATTTGCTCCAGTAGCAAAAATGATGAATACTATGAGGATTTTACTGTCATTAGCAGCCCATTACGATTGGCCATTGCTGCAATACGATGTGAAAAATGTTTTCCTACATGGAGACTTGGATGAGGAAATTTATATGAAGATCCCACCCGGATTCAAAGTGAATAAAACTAGTGATAAGGTCTGCAAACTCAAGAAGGGTTTATATGGGCTGAAACAGTCCCCTAGAGCATGGTTCGGAAGATTTGCTAAAGTAATGAAAGATTCAGGTTATAAGCAAAGTCAAGGAGACCACACGCTGTTCTTCAAACACTCGGCCTCAGGGGGAGTAACTGTCCCGCTTGTGTATGTTGATGATATAATTGTAACCGAAAATGATGAAAAAGAGAAAAGAGACCTAAAAAGGAGGCTGATTCAAGAGTTTGAGATAAAGGAGCTTGGGAAACTGAAGTACTTTCTGGGGATTGAGGTGGCATACTCTAGACAAGGCATCTTTGTGTCTCAACGTAAGTATGCGACTGATTTATTAATAGAGACTGGAAAGGCTGCTTGTAAACCGGCTGCCACTCCTGTGGACTCAAACCAGAAATTAAGTGAAGCCAAAGAGGAGCAACCAGTGGACAAAGGGATGTATCAAAGGCTAGTTGGAAGACTCATATATCTTACGCACACTCGGCCAGACATAGCTTACCCTGTGAGTGTAATCAGTCAGTTTATGCATGACCCTAAGGAGTCTCATCTACAAGCAGCACAAAGAGTACTGCATTACTTAAAAGCCAATCCTGGAAAAGGAATCTTGTACAAAAAGAATTCCTTATTGAAGCTAGAGGCAGACACAGATTCGGATTATGCAGGTTCAATCGTGGATAGAAGATCAACAACTGGCTATTGTACGTTTCTGAGTGGTAACTTGATAACTTGGAGGAGCAAAAAGCAAAATGTTGTGGCAAGATCATCTGCAGAAGCTGAATTTCGGGCTTCTGCTCAAGGGATGTGTGAATTACTTTGGCTGAAGATTATTCTAAAAGACTTGAGGGTCAAATGGGAGGAACCTATGAAGCTCTATTGTGATGATAAATCAGCAACCAACATTGCTCATAATCCTATTCACCATGATAGGACAAAACACAGTGAGATCGATAGACAATTCATCAAGGAGAAGTTAGAAGAAGGAATCATTTGTATGTCCTACGTTCCCTTGAGAGATCAATTAGCTGATGTGTTGACGAAAGGATTAAATGGTCCTATTTTTCATGAGATTGTATCCAAGCTGGGAATGGAAGACATTCATTCCTCAGCTTGAGGGGGAGTGTTGGAAGATATTTTAGGCAGGAAATAGTTATAGAAAATATGTTTTAAGTAATTCCTGATTTTCAGGGATTGTAGATATCTTTCCCTGATTTCCAGAGATTTGTAAATATCTTTTCCTATTCTGCCTCCCTGTAAGTTCTATAAATACTTAGCCATGAAATTATTTAGTAAAAATCAATATACAGAATTCTCTTCCTTCCCTGATTCACGTCACAAACATCTTTTTTGTTGTAGGATCAAAATATTTACATCCATTACGTGTTGAAGACAGTCCTAAAAAACACATTTTGTACCTCTAGAGTCAATTTGCTTGCTGTTTTCTCAGGATTTTTAAACACTGTACAACAAAAGAAATCAAAGGAAGAGAGCTGTTAAGCCTGGTTTTAGGAAAACGGGTTTGAAGAGTATCAATCGGAGTTTTATATCCTAGAGTTTTTTATGGCATCCTATTAATTAAATAGTTGGCATGTAAAACATCTCCCCATAAATATTTTGGAACTGTGGTTGAAAACATGATCACTAGTGACTTCAAGTAAATGCCTATTTTTCCTCTCAGCTATTCCATTCTGAGCAGGTGTATTTATGCAAGAACTTTGATGAACAATCCCTTTTTCAGCAAAAAAAAATTGAGACAAATACTCAAGGCCATTATCACTTCTTACCATTTTGATGTTGGTATTGAATTGAGTTTGGACCATTAAGTAAAATTTTATGAACACATTTTCAACTTCAGATTTCTCTTTAATAAAAAAAAAAAAAAAAAAAAAAAAAACATGTCATCCGTGTATGATCATTTATAATTGTTAAAAACCATCTCTTTCCTTTCAAGGTAGATACTCTAGATGCACCCCAAATGTCACTATGCACAAGATTAAAAAAGATTAGTAGGTTTGTAACTATGAGGGATATAAGAATTCTTGTGATGTTTTGCAAGTGCACGCATATCACAATGAAATAATGAAGGGTCTTTATTATGAAATAACTGAGGAAACAACTTTTTAAAATAATAAAAACTAGGATGACCTAGTCAATAGTGCATCAAATACACTTCATTATTACTGGAAAAAGAAATAGTTTGCAAACAAACATTTCCTTGACCTTGTTTATTTAATTTGGTCCTTTCATCAAAGACATAGAATTTATCTCCCTTCCTCTCTAGCACTGCCAATCATCTTCCCCGATGCCATGTCCTAAAAAATGCAATAAGAAGGATAAAATTTAACAACACTGAAGATCTTTGGTTACACTGACAAATCAGTTGTTGGGTGTTGGGTGTTGGTGGATATACACTGTCAAAGTTGGCCAAGATGGTAACATTGATCGTTTTAAAGCACGCCTTGTGGCGAAAGGGTACACTCAAATCTATGGGTTAGATTACACTGACACATTTTTTCCAGTCGCTAAGAATGCTTATGTTAGTTTGATCTTATCCATGGCGGCAATGAGACACTGGCCCTTGTTTCAGTTGAATATTAAAAATGCATTTCTTCATGGTGATCTACACGAGGAAGTTTATATGGAGCAACCGCCTGACTTTGTTGCTCATGGGGAGTCAGGTTTGGTGTGCAGATTACGTCGTTCGTTATATGGCATGAAACAATCTCCATGTGCATGGTTTGGGAGGTTTAGTGCTGTTATTAGTGGATTTGGAATGGTTCGAAGTGATGTCGATCATTCTATATTCTATAGACATTATTGTTGTGTATGTTGATGATATTGTCATTACAGGTAGTGATGAACAAGGAATTGCACTCCTTAAGCAATATCTTTTTAGCAAATTCCAAACAAAAGACTTGGGAAAGCTAAGGTACTTTCTTGGCATTGAGGTCGCGCAGTCTCAAAACGCAATTGCCTTCTCAAAGAAAATATGCTTAGGACATTCTTGAAGAAACAAGTATGGTGGAGTGTAGACCAGTGGATACACCAATGGATCCAAACGTCAAACTCTTGTCAGAGCAAGGAGACCCTTTGCCAACAAAAGAAAATATAGAAGACTCATTGGCGGACTAAATTACCTTACCATCACAAGAACAGATATTTCATTTGCAGTAAGTGTTCTTAGTCAATTTCTTGATAAGCCATCTAGTGGTCATTGGGATTCACCTATTCGAGTCTTGAGATACATCAAGAAAACACCAGGACAAAGGTTGCTATTCGAAGACCGAGGTCACCGTGATATTGTGGGATACTGTGATGCCGATTGGGCAAGATGTCCGATGGATAGACGTTCTACTTCGGGATATTGCATCTTGATCGGTGGAAATCTAATTTCTTGGAAGAGTAAGAAACAAGATGTGGTTGCCAGATCCAGTGCCGAAGCAAAATACCATGTGATGGCCCTTGCTAAATGCGAAATCTTGTGGTTGAAGCATCTTCTCCAAGAACTAAAATACGGGAGCACAAAATCAGTTCAATTATTGTATGACAATCAAGCCGCAGTGCAGATTGGTATATCATGAGAGGACTAAACACATTGAAGTTGAATGCTACTTTATTCGAGAAAAGATCGCAATTGGACATATTTTCACAAAATATGTCAGCACAACTGATCAACTTGCAGATGTTTTAACTTTTAACCAAGTCCCTTAGAGGTCTTAGAGTAGAGTATATTTGTAACAAGCTTGGTGCATATGATTTATATGCTCCAGCTTGAGGGGGTGTGAAAACCATAGTTGTATTGGGCTTAGCCCATTTGTGTATAGAAACTCTAATGATCTAATATTGTTATAAATAGAGCTACTTGTATAGCATTTCATAAGAAGAATAATGAATATAATCACAATATGCAAATAGCAATCCACCAGAAAATTACCCGTAAACTGCTAGCAAACATAAAATTAATAAATCAACAAAAGGAAGATTCCAAGCATAACAAAATTTTAAAAAACATCAAGGGGGCATTTTTCTATATACCTTGTCCAATGTATAGTTTTTGCCCAAAGCCGTATCCTGCAAAACATTAGCTGCAACCTGAAGTGTTGCCAATTTATTAGAACATACTGCATGTAATATAATAGAATCATGACAAATATGGGTTTACATATGTAAGAGGTTACGTACTCCAAACTTCGCGTTCCTGAAATTTCCTATCTTCTTTACTTTACACAGTATTCTTGACGACCACTAGAAACTTAGGAGTGCCCAATGTAATAACTAAACAGACAACAATTTGTCCAAATAAAAAATATGAGGTTTACCTCACCACCATTAGTGCCTCCCTCATAGCATGGTGTCAGACTAATTGCACGTTCGAGGTAAGGCCTCCAGTGCCCAGTAAGTAAATCCCTTCTGATCATCTCGACGCCACTTTGATAGTTCTGGTTGATATTAATTTTTAAAGATTTCATGTTAAGGTACATGTTCAAATACTAAACAGAGATCTTTGATGAAGAAATAACCTTACTGAACCAAAACATTGTACCTCGAGCATATTTCTCAGAAAAGGTTCTTCATTAAAGTAGTCTCTGCGCACAAAGACAAATGGTAGCTTGTATGCAAGGGCTTCACTGACAGTACCATACCCGATTTTTCCTGTAGTAAACCCCTATTCATGAACATTAAAGGAAACAACTCTACTCCATCTGTTGCATTAAATGATAATTTTCCAACTTTTTGTTAGGATCATGGGCTAAGGAGAATAATAATAAGAATACTAGAATAATAATAAATAATTGTGATAGTGTATTAGAGGGTCCTGGGCCTAGTTAGTTTTGGCTGGCCCACAAGGAAAAGGTTATAAATAGGAGTGGGAGTAGAATAAAGGGGCGGGCTGAATTTGGATCTGGAATTATGCCTTGGGAGTGTTGAGACGACTCGAACTGTCTCGCTTGTATCTTTCTTTTCACCGTTCAGTATTATCGTATCAATTCTACGTATATTTTCATCTCTTCAAATCGGGTACCTAACATTGGTATCAGAGCACTCGCGCTCCTAGAGACACAGATCAAATCGGATCATCACCAGAGCACTGATGGAGCAGCGATTGGAGAAATTGGAAATGACTATTGCTGAGAGCCTGAGACTCGATCGCGGATGGTCGAGAGGATTGCTGAGGCCCAAACGAGGTTGATCGACCTATGTAACCGGCTGAAGGACCAAAATCGCCGGCGACCTAGAGGACGTTCCAGAACCGTGAAGCGTTGTGATATGAAGCGGGAAGAGCATGTGGCGGGACCGGGCATGGGCCCACTTCCGTGGTCCGGTTACGGGCTATCTTTATAATTATTTATTATTATTTTAAGTTAATGTTATGTTTTGGTTTGGGCCTTTTATTAGTAGAGTACTTAGTAGAGTAGTATGGGCCTAATTAGGATTTTAATAATTTGGGCTTGATTAGGGTTGCTTGTAGAAGGCTATTTATACCCCTCGCCAGGGTTCATTCTTATTATCTTGGAATAAAAGTTGGTTTAGCCTTTTAGCTCTGGGCAACGGTATTTTTTATCGTTGATTATCTGGGCAACGGTTCACCCTGTTGATTTTATTTTTCTGTTCTTATCAATTGGTCCGACCTGCCGGATCCCTGTCCCGCCGGAATGACGAGATCTCAAAACGATCGCTTGAACGAGATGGAGGCCGAGCAAACCCTAATTAAACAGAAGCTTGATGTGCAGGGGCAGAAATTAGAGGAGCATGGCGCCCAACTGGCAGAGATTGCGGCTTCGCTCGCTGCACTCGTGAAGGCCATGGTCCCATCGGAGAAGGAGCTCGCAGCGACCAGTGACGCCGCATCTGCGCACGCCGCATCTACGCACCAAAGCAACGACAAACTGCGCATCTCTACAACGACCTTGCTGCCAGCGTTCAATGGAGAAGACCCGATTGGGTGGGTGGATAGGGCTGAGCAACAGTTTGAAATTAATCAAACCCTACCTGAACGGAAAGTGACAGCAGCTATGGTAGCCATGGAAGGGGCTGCCTTGTACTGGTTGACCTGGCTGAAGGCACGGAAACCGGGCCTGACTTGGGAGGAATTCACAGATGCACTGGTGGCCCGTTTTGATTCACGGTTCAAGGGCAACCGATTTGAACGGCTGTCCGGGGCCAAACAGTTAGGGACCATCGAAGAATATAATAACCTTTTTGTGTTGTTGGCCAGTCAGATTCCTGGGTTGTCCGAGGATCATTACTTTGGTTATTACATGAGTGGGCTTCAGGAAGCAATCCGAAGCTCGTTGCGATTGCTTCGGCCGAACAACCTGGAGATGGCTATGGAATTAGCTCGCGAAGTGGAGCATAATCTGTCCGTCCAAAGTGGAGGAGGTGGCAGCCTGAATTATCATTCTTCAGGGGTACGTTCTAGCAGCCTTTTAATGGCAAACACAGGTTCCCCGTTGACTGCCATTGGTGGCAGCTTACAGGGTTCGGAGGACAGCTTTGCGAAAGATAGTGGACAGCCTCCGGGGACGAAGTCAGGGCTGTCCGGGCAGCCTACGACACGCTCTCAGTTCACTCGACTTCCGCCGAAAGAGTTTGCAGAACTGCGGGTAGAGTTCTGCGTGTCACTTCTCAAAATGTTAATAATTCTAATGCTTCACAAGGACCTGGTCAAAATCTTCACCACATTGTTGAGAATAGGTTACAGCCAAACACAGAGGGTGTAGGAGTGCAAAATATGAGGCTGTTTCGAGGTTGTTTGAACTTGTCTCTGCCAGACAATTCGGAAGGCCACAAGACTGGAAATCAGTGTGATAGCGTAGTTAACTAACAACCATCATCTGGAGGTAAAAGGTTTCCTGTTATTCTGTTGCGTTGTTCAGCTAATGTCTATGGTGGGAGTGAAATTGGATTTGAAGAAGATTTAAGGATACCTAAACTTGATTGGTCATCTGGGCTTACAAAATTGAAAGGCATCAATAAAGTAGAGTCAGTAGACCTTAAACTTCCTGGATCATTTGGAGATATTATTACAGTACCAATTTTTTGTGATATGATAAGCAGTGAACTCTATTCCTTTTTTCATACTGACAAACCCCAAAGAGTTGCAATTTTATGAGAACATTTGCTGGTATACCGGGAAACCTGAGCAAGAGAACAATCATTATGTTCTCCAGACTGACAGCATACCTCTTTCTGAAGAGAATCTGGTTAAACCGGGTTGTGGACAGCTTTGTTCAAAATGGGTGTGAAGGGTCAAGTAATGAAGATCATGGTCTAGAAATCCGGGATGTAGGATGTTTTTACTTGAACTGTAATCCGTCCCAGACCAGTTGGCCAGACTTGGATAGTTATAAAAATACAAAGAGACCAGACATTACCAGTTCAGACCAGACCGGCAAATTACAGTCCAAGTAAAAACATCCGTATTGGGAAGGAAGAGGCGCAAGGATGAAGGTGAGCCTGAAGATCAAGGCTGTTTCATATCATCCACCTTGAGGACAAGGTGGTTGTCCAAGGGGGGAGATATGTTAGGATCATGGTCTAAGGAGAATAATAATAAGAATACTAGAATAATAATAAATAATTGTGATAGTGCATTAGAGGGTCCTGGGCCTGGTATTAGTTAGTTTTGGCTGGCCAACAAGGAAAAGGTTATAAATAGGAGTGGGAGTAGAATAAAATGGCAAGCTGAATTTGGATCTGGAATTAGGCCTTGGGAGTGTTGAGACGACTCGAACTGTCTCGCTTGTATCTTTCTTTTCACCGTTCAGTACTATTGTATCAATTCTACGTATATTTTCATCTCTTCAAATCGGGTACCTAACACTTTCCCTGTTGATTCATCTTAATTATTGATCAACTAAATCAAGAATGTGACGGAGTAAGGGTACTCTAGGTATAGCACTACCTTATATTATGAGTTTCTGTATGCAAGATAATTACTACTCCGTAATTACTAAATAAAGAACGAAAAATATTACTATAGGCTTTTCAATAGACAAATATAGGACCAACTTTTAATTTGGACAAAACAAAGGCCAAATATAATTGAAAGGACTAACACACCTTTAATATAAAAAATTAAAACCATAGAAAACCGTTAATCTCAGCTCATCTGCACCGCCTCCCGTCCCCAGCCTCTGCAATAACCACTGAAATCTCAACTTATCTGCATTGTCGTCCGCCTCTTGCCTCCCGTCCCCAACCTCCGCCAATATCCACCAAAATCGTTGCTAGCCAATGCCGCTTAGGGTTTTCTTCTTCGACCAGGCAATCATGATGACCACAAAAGACTTCAATGGCGCAGTTTTCTTCTCCGCTGACGATGATGGTGCTTACCCTCTTCTACAACAGGTGAGGCTACCTAGGGTTTGTAAGGATGACGACAACTCTGCTGTCCCTTGTCGCCTTTGCCGCTCCCCTCCTCCGCCGCCTAGTTCGGTGCCTGCCCCCGTCATCAGCTGCAACTCCTTTCATATTCTTCTTCTCCTTTCTTCTTTCCGCAAACAGCCACTACACTCTGGACCCTAAAGCCCAATCAGAGATGAAAATCTAGATCTGGAGTTCCTAGATCATCTTCTTTGCGCCAGCATCTAGGGTTTCATATTGACGGTAATCACTGTAACCGGCGTGGTCACTGTCGCCGGTGGTGGTCACTGGCTGGCAGTGGTCACTATTGGCATTGCTCACGGAGAAGAATAACTTGAGTATTTGATTTTGATAAAACTCAATGCATGCGTACGTACATGGGAGGAAAAACAAATGAACACATGATTTCCTTTTTTGTGGTGATCAAAGCTTCTTAGCCTTTGAAGTCACCCATTTTCTCATATATAAAGGCAAAGCCACAACCGTATTTTTACAATGGAGTTACACACCAACTTTGAACCCACTAACCCACTAACCGTATAAAACATGCATGACCGGCCATGCAATGTTTTAACTCCACAAAATAATTAAACATGCATGCAATTAACTAATTGACTAACTCATGCAAATTAGACTAACACTAATGCAACAGCACACACACACATCAGTGCCGCTACAACTCATGCATGGTGTCATGCGACGCACACTACTTGGCATTACTCATCCCGCCGGGCACTCAGACTCTAGTCTAATATGCAACTATGACTCAAAAATAAACTAAAATAAACATGATGAAATTATAAACAACAATGTTAACTCCAACAGTCACAGGCTAACGGGCTAATTATTGGTTAGTATGGCAGGATCAGGTCACTGACAGATGGTGTTACTCGATATTATGATGGGTAGTTAGGTAAAATGCAATTAGGAGTTTCCAGATTTAGTGCTTATTTAGTCCCATTTTTGGAAACTCAAAGAAAGACTCTTTTTTGTCCATAACCTACTGTTTAGTACTCCCTCCATCCCATTTAAAGGTCCTCGTCCACTATTCACATGGTCAACTTAAATCATTCTTAATCTTTTACTTTATATATCAAATTTTTATCAAACTTACATTTTTTTTTATCAAACTTTGTAGCGGTTTTAATGTAGTTTCTGAATATGTAAATTTTACTTACTAAAAATAATCAGGGTGTGAATACGGATTAAGTTGCTTTATCGCCAGTCAAGCATCGTAAACCGCAATTGGAACCTCCTAATGGGACGGAGGGAGTAATATTCTTGTCAAAACCCCATTGCTAAAACTATACTCTGTGAAATATATGGAAATTTATATTTGGAAGTCAAAGAAAACTGAAAAAGTATTCACTAACCTAGCATACAGTCGGATGCTGCCATAAGGTCAGGAGTGTATGCATCTTTTGCAAGCTTTATAAAGTTTGGAGGCAACTGCTGACTATCAGAAGCACCACAGACCTGAACATGAACTATTAAATGTAAACCAATTTGTTGAAAGCCTGAAATGCCATGACCTGTTGTAATGGAGAGTGAAGATGAAATGGAAGTACCAGGCAGAGCCAACCAGAAGGTAAGTACTCCTCTTTCAACTTCCAACCTGCGGGCTGTAAAGGGATGGTTAGAAAATTTTAAAAAAAGGTACAAATTTTGAGACTAAACCTCACACGTGATGTGTGCTAGTACTGTATATAGAATATAGATATAGATAAAATGATACATGTAAGAAGTATATAAGCACCAATGAACTACGGAAAGCAAACAAAACTAACAAATAGTACATAGATACAAGCACACATAAAAACAGTCTCCTTGTCTCCTTATACATAAACACGCGTGCAAACACATACAGAGTCTCCATAGTCCTTATGTCCTTGTACATAAACGCGCGTGCACACAAAAAGTACATACATGCATGCATGCATGCATGCAAACATACACACACACACACACACACACAAAGTACATAATACATACATACACACATATAAAACAACAACCAAACCTTATTCCCAAAAGATTTTGGAGTCAGCTAACATGAATCAATACATGATATCGGAGGCAAAAGGAAAAGAAAGATAAGAAAAATAAAAAGATAAGGTATGATAAAAAGATTAAAAGGAAAAAAAGATAAATATGGAGTATCGATAAAGATAAAAATGATTAAAATAAAAAGGGATAAACAGAATATATATATATACTACCTCCGTCCCTTTTATATTGGGACGGAAGAGGATGACACGAGTTTTAAGAAAAGTGGGTTTGTGTGGTTGATATTAATTGATAAAGTAAGAATAAAGTAAGAATGATTTTGAGCCACACAAACTTTACCAAATATGGTATGGGACAATTTAAGTGGGACTTCCCGAAATGGTAAAACAGGACAATATAAATGGGACGGAGGGAGTATAAAATAAAACGGATAAAAGGACAAAGAACATAAGAAAGAAAAAGAAGATAAAAGGATAAAAAGGTGATAAGAGATCAATCCTCCACACGAATATCCGCCCTCCAAATTGCTCTCTGCAAAGCCATACTCTCACCCAACCCAAGAAGGAGCATATCACTCCTGATTCCTCTAATGTGTTCTTAAATGCTTGTCATAAAAGATCTTTCTTCTCTTTAGAATTAGAGCGCCAACCAACAACAACAACAACAAAACCAGTTTTATTGTCTAAACAATTAGAGGTATAGCATAAATATTTCATTTCAAACTAAAATAGATGACGAAGACTCTAACTTGTATCGCCAGCTTCAGTAAAAGTGGAGTATTTAAGCTACAAATAGCCATAAATACACCCCTTTTAGAACATAGAGTGCAGCCAGAGTCTTCCTGATGATATCTGGCCATCTAAACAGTCGTGTTTATCAGATAAAGCTAGAGAAACTGATTATAGGACTCACCTGCCCACCAAAATTGAGAATTACAACCTTAACTTCCTCTCCAATTCCCAGTTCTCTCCTTACCTAGAACATTAAAAGGAAAAAATGTCACAGTGATCCAAGACAGGAAGAGTATACATTACTGATAAATTGGAACCAAATGCTCTCACTCAGACCTCTTCACGAGATTTGTGTAGTCTCCGGACAACTAGCGGTACATCAATTACATCCCGGAAAGCAGGCACTGTTATGTTAGTTAAGACAGCATCCGCACCGACAACCATTTTTTAGCATTTAAAAACCATAGTTTATGAGAAGTAAAAGAAAAACAAAACAAAGCTCTCAATAATGAGAAAACCAACATACTTGGGCAGAACCCTGGGAGCCTGATTAGGAATTCGCAATGAGAATAATCCTCCGCAATCTACACCAAGAAAATATAAAATGTAAAGCTAGTAAGCAACCAAGTAGCTCAGTATACAGAAAAGTTGTTTCAACAAAAATACTTGCTTTTACTCGCATCACTTTCCTTTTATAGAAGTTTAAACTTGCTCCACTTTCCATTTTTCACAACTACACGTGTACAAAAAGACCTAAATTCCCTTACCTTTCATCTTCTCTTTCCAACTTTTCCAACCTTTTCTTCTATTCTCTCCTATTTTTCCACTGTTTTATACTACTCACTATCCGTAGTACTTTACTCTTAATTTCCTAGAAAAACCTGGTAGTGCGAGCTAAAGTTAACTGAAGGAGTACAACTTTAGCCTTATAATTCTTCCACTGCCAGCTCTTTTCTTTATCAATCAGTTTTATATGAAAAACATGTCTTCATCAACTTTTTGTAACACCTTTTATAGTGTCCTTATCATCACTTATTACACTACTTCCAAAAATAATATAAAGAGATAGCATGAAAAGCTAATATTATTGTGACATTCATGAAAACAACAAAGTCATTTTTAACCTGCCAAACAATTGACCGGTGATGATTTCCCGCAGCCATGACATACTCTGCATAGATGAAGTCCCAACTGTAAACAGAAATAATAGTAAAAAGACTGTCCAGAATAACAGATTATGCTCATAGAAAAGGTATAAATTATTTGTAGAATTAAAAACTCATACTTGATCTAACAGCAACAAATAACAGAATATCTGGAAGAACTCTTAATGAATTGTCAAAAGGAAACTACTATTTTAATATTACATTATTACTACTGCTATATACAAGTAGAAAATAGAAACATGGATGAAGTCCGAACTGCAAACTGAAATAATAGTAAGAAGACTGTTATAAATAACAGTTGATGTTCAAAGAAAAAGTATACATTTATTTGTAGAATGAAAAACTTATACTTGATCTAACAGCAACAAATAATAGAATATGTGAAAGACTTTTATCATGTGTCAAAAGGAAAGTCCTATTTTAATATTTCTACTGCTATATATAAGTAGACATAGAAGCATCTTGGGACAGGAGAATAATACGACAGATGGACTGTTCAATAACCTGAAGTTGGTAACACAGACTGAAGGAATCCCAGCATCAGCTGCTGCCCGGCAAGCCACTGGAACAACATCTGATACCTGTTCCATTGGTATAGGTATAAGTTTGGCATCTACTCTGAAATGAAGATATATAATTCAAATCCTAAGAGAGACTTTTCTACTACATATGTCCCCAGTAAGACTTCAGAAGAGAAAATCATAATGTGATAGATTGGGAACTTATGAGTATGTATATATGACACACAAAATACTTCTAAGTACGACTTTAATCTGCATTGTACTTGTAAACTACAAAGATGGGTAAAAATACACTTTTAGCTTATTAAAGATATTAAAGAAAAAACACTTTTAGTACCACTAAGTCTGCATTGATGGATTTCAGCCATTCCACTTCTGTAGACAAAATCGATGCACGCGGTACAACAGCAGTCTCAGAATACTGAATCAATTAACAGAAAAAATAAATTAAACACAGCAGTCAATCGGGCATGATGATTTTTTGATAGGCATCCAGCTAAGCAACCTACTCAATTTTTTAATAATGTATATCATAGGAGGAACCGTAGGGGAGTTGGTTAAGTAATTAGCTAACTAGTGTTATGCTATATTCCTGCGTGGATAAACTACTATAAATAGAATAATAAGTGTTGAGGGCAGTAGGCTGTTATTTTCTGTTGAGACTGGACTTTGGAGACTGGGCATCTCGAATAGCCCCTGAGCATTGTATCCCTGTGATATGTTCAGCTAGAGAATAAAGCAATTTCGATCTGTTCTTCTCTTTTTGTTATTGAATTCATATTGTTCTGAGTTTAGAATTATCAGTGTTCTATCATTTTTAAACTATAAATATTGCTAGAAAATTATATGTGTCAAATATCAATGCAAATGAACAAACTATTCCTTCGTAAGAAGGTTCTGACAACACGGTGTGCAATAATTTATAATGTAAACTAAGTCATATTATATAAAAATCATGCTAATGACCACATCTAGTTGGAATTATGGTGATGGTTATAAGAACATGTAAAAATGCATACTTTTTCCAATGAGGCTAGTCGATCCACTGTCAAAGCATCCGCTTGAACTGCTCCACAATCTAACAGTACCTGTGGTTATCACTTATGTCAAAATATGTAATGAAACACCAGCAGCTAAACATAGATTGCATCAGCTTCTGAAAGATAGCAGCATTCCCCACCTTGCGAAGGAAAAGTCTGGGAGATTTTATCTCTGATGTGAAAACAAAATCCGGTGCACCGGTAATCACATGAACATCATGTCCAGCTAGAATGAGATTCCGAGCAACCTAACCCCAGAGACGAACACAAAAGTCTCTATTAGGCATAAACATGAACTATAGTACATTCTTCTAAGAGGTTAGCTGAGCATGTGATTATCTAATTTGTTTTATCCGAAGGATAGTTTATGACCATTAATAAGATCATAAACATTAAACTTGGGGTTGGGGGTCCAGGTCAAAGCCATAGTTATCATGATTCAATTAGGCTGATTTTAAGGGACATTGAAATGCAGTGGAATTAATCACAGGTTTTGCGGCTTTTCCACTAGATCAGAGAGAACTGCAGTGGCAATCACACAGTGAACGCCAAAAAAAATATGGTGTAGTTCAGAAAAAATCAAAGATAAAACTCGAAATTACAGAGAGACAAAAACTAGCGTGAATAAAAAGGGAGACTTTTTGAAGTGATTGAGATGTGGTGCGATTAATCTAAAGTAGAAAAATGCGGAATTTCCTGAGAGAATTTACAGTGGGAATCACAGCGTCAAAGTATCAAAATCGAAGAAAAAAATCGAATACATGAAGGGGGGTTACCTCGACAACACGAGTAGCATGTCCGAATCCATGGCCTGTGACATAGTAAGCAAAGACAAGAGGTTGCTTGCTGTTGGTGTTAGAGTCGTCCACGGCCACCATTGTCTCCGTCTCTTGCAAAATCTCTGTGATTCGCCAAACAAATTAGGCAAAGACGTGAAGGAGTAGAGGTTGGATTGATGCTGACTCGAGAATGGAGTGTCAGCCTTATCTGGTTTCAGTTTTCCTTCCCGGATTCAGTGTCTCACCGATAACGGTACCCCAAATTTGTCATTATCCGTACCCGCTATCATTACTCCCTTATATTATTTCCGTATTAAGCAAATAAAAATCAATTATATGCTTGAGGTACATCAATTATGCTTGAGGTACAAATAAAAATTCAAGACTTTTATTTGACATGTTGGTGTAGTCATAATCTGTAAGCATTAACTTTTCCAGATTTGCAGACAGACAAATAAAGCACAGACAGACGTTTAGAACACTTAACACAGACAAGTAAATATAAATTACAGACATCTATTTTTAAAATGACAGACAACTTCACTACTCTTACAGACTTATCACAACAACATGACACACAAGTCATTACAGACAACTCAAACAAATACAGACAACTAACAAGAAAATGACAGACAATTCAATTAAATATCAATTACAGACGTCTATTTTGCAAGTGACAGACAACTCCCCTAGTCTAAAAAACAAATACAGACAACTCAAATAACTCAAGGTTTGGAATACTTACTATCTGAAACATTCCTAATATGCGCAATTTAAAGTTGAAACTTATACTAGTAAAACAAAAATTCAAAATCCTTAAAACATAAGAGGATTGTAACAAAAATCCAAAATCCTGTAGACAGACAAATATAACCGAGACAGATATTTATGACACTTATACAGACAATTTATGTAATGTAACAAAGGTTGAATTGAATACCCTACGGACAACTCAAAAGGCTTGCGAGACAACTAATTTCACATGACAGGTAATTACAAACCTAGTTCCAACAGTTCAAAATGAAGTGACAGACAACTCAAATGGCTTGCCAGACAACTAATTTCACATGACAGACAACTACAAACCAAGTTTCAACAGTACAAAATAAAGTGACAAACAACTCAAATGGCTTGCCAGACAACTAATTTCACATGACAGACAACTACAAACCATGTTTCAACAGTTCAAAATGAAATGACAGACAACTCAAATGGATTGCCAAACAACTAATCTCACATGACAGACAACTACAAACCTAGTTGCAACAGTTCAAAATTAAGTGACAGACAACTCAAATGGCTTGCCAGACAACTAATTTCACATGACAGACAACTACAAACCTAGTTGCAACAGTTCAAAATTAAGTGACAGACAACTCAAATGGCTTGCCAGACAACTAATTTGACATGACAGACAACTACAAACAATTTTTAAAATACTAACTCATTACCAACTACTAAGAGAAGTCAACCATATATGCACTTCAAGTAATACACCAGACAACAATATGCACAATTTAAAGTTGAAACTTATACTAGTAAAACAAAAATCCAAAATCCTTATAACATAAGAGGACATAAACAAAAAAATCAATTAAGCATTTCAACAAACATGTTATGGGCATATTAATGACCTAGAATAGTTGGACTAAATTTGTAAGAATAAACATCACAAATTCATCACAATAACACAAGATATTCAACCATTAACATTACAAGATATATAGAGTATTACATATGAATTTAAAAAAAAATGAAGAAAGATGAAAAAGGGAGAAAGAGGCATACTGGGGGGAGTCTGTGGACAATCTGTAGCTCAACTCCATTGAAGAGGGTTGCAAATGGTGTCCATGGATGACCTCCTTTCGCCCTAGCATTGTAGCTCTCCGTTCGAAACACAAAAAAAAGGGGAGGGTGAGACGAGGGGAGGGTGAGACGGAAGGAGTGTTGGCCGGTGTTGTCGCGGAGGGTGTTGTCGCAGGGGAGTGTTGGCCGGTGTTGTCACAGTGAGAAAGAGGGGAGGGTGTTGTCGCAGGGGAGTGCAGAGAGTTGGTAAAGGGCTGATGTGGAGTTTTGGAATGAAGAAGAGAGTTGGGGGTAAATTTTCTAAATGGGAAAGGGAGTGAGGTAAAAATGGGGAAGGGTTTTTATATGGGGTATGAATGAGGTACCATTTGAGGTACCCATAGCAATTTTGAATAAAAATAGGGGTTGAGAGCATTCACCAATGGGTTTTGATTCCTCTTTCCTTTCATCATTCCCAACAAAAACTTAATTCTCTTTGTCCTATCATACTCTCTTCTCACTAAAAATTTGTACATTCTTTCTCCATATTTGTTGTATATTCCACCATTATTAATTTATATAACGGACGGACTTCTCGAACCTCAAACTATGCTGGGCGCACCTCATTTTTCTCAAAACCGGACATATTTGCCCTCTTCCTTTTATTTGTGTTTTTGTTGACCGTGCTCTTTGGAGTTTGGATACAGAGTATAACTGTATAAGTTTTACTTGGTATCAGTTTATTATTATGTTTTCTGTATTACAGATTAGTAGACATTGTTTGCTTTTTGTTTATTTAAAAAAGTACACATCGTTCGGTGGAGTGCTCTCCATTGCGTTCTTTGACAGAATTTAGGAACCTCTTTGGAACACTGAAATTAGTTGAATTGATTAATTCTGCTAATTTTTTTAAAATTGTTGTTGAAGTGGCTGGATTGACCGATTCTGCTGGTTTATGAAAAAATATATTTAAAATACTTTTATTAATAAAATAAATAAAAAATATATGAAAAATAGTTAAAAGTATCATTTACAATAACTTCAGCTAATACATTCGGAAAAGTAACACCAACCTTACTTTTTCTCATTATTACACAATTCAGCGCGCGAAAAGTAATATCAACTTTAATTTTTTTTATAGTTCTGTTAAACCGAAAAACAAGGTCACAAAACGGGCTTTAGATGTTTTGACCGTCCTCCCTGGACCAGATCAGTCAATCAAACTTCAATAGTTGTAAATTACACATAAAACAGACATGAACTAGATGAGACCAGTATCAGACCCGACTTCAAAATTTACATATTACGGAGTATTATACTTTATATAAAATAATTTGCCACGTGACAACAAATTGGTTGAGAAGTCAATTTTAAAATTGACATGGTAGGGGGATTACCGCATCAACTATTAAACTTCCTAAGTAGTTAACTTCCTATATATGTAACTACGTTAATTAATCTTAATTGAAAACTCCGTAAGTGAAAAGGTCAATATTGTCATAGCTGGGTTACATAAAGTAATACCAGGGGTGCGCGTAGCAACGCCCTTTATATAATTTAAAAAAAGAATATAAAATCCACATTTGACCCATTCTAATTACTTATTGTTGGCATTGTATCGGTGCGCCCACGGTGGGAGCAGCTCATGGTGCGCATGCTGCTCCACGGGCAAAAAACGTGTGTTACAGTTCACGTGCTTGAACAATAACTTCTTTTTTATTTTTTCATTATCCCAGCAGCAGAACGATGTAACTCGCGTGTAAAGAAATGAAACTCACACTAATAAGAAGTGTAACTTCAGGCACGCCGGAATGTAACTTTTCTAATACGATTTATAAGAAATAAAACATTTATTTCAATGAAAACAAGAAATCTAATTGCTCAATGAATATATTTTGTTTTTAATATCAATACTATAAAAAAAAATTAAATCTCCTTTTTAGCAAACAAAAAAATCATTATTTTTTCCAAAAACAAAATTGCCAAAAAATGTTTTTTTTTTGCAAAACAATGATTCTTTTGTTTAAATAGTATGGTTCTATGAAGTTATTTCTATTGTAATTTAATTAGTTAAAGATATTAGAAATGATAATATAGAAAATATATTAGAGATATTTCCATATGTAATGTTTGTATGGTGTGTAGCATTAGTACGTGGGTAAAGCATGGTGCATGGCCCATGCACATGCACGCATCTTCTTCTGCACGTTACCCTCTCCCTTAGCATGCATACTCACTTATTATTTATAGCTAGCTAGTAGTTGCTTGATAATGTAATACCGAATACACAATCTCTTTACAAATGTTTTCTCTCTCTTAGAATAATCTATTACTCCCTTCATCCCAAAATGAGAGTCCCATTTCTTTTGGGCTCAAAGATTAAAGAAGTGGTTGAAAAGGTAAAAGTTGTGGTTGAGATTTGAGTAGAAAAAGGTGAAATGATGTGGATCACATATTTCTTTCCAAAAAGGAAAATGGGACTATCAATTTGGGACGGTCTAGAAAGGAAATACGGGACCATCAAATTGGGACGGAGGGAGTATATTTTATTACTCGGTATATTTTATCATGATATCAGAGCCGAAATCCTGGAAACAAAATATTAATGCTTCTTCTCTATAATTATTTATATCTCTACCTTTATAACTCAACTATGATGGTTGATGATATAACTGCTAAGATAAGTCACGAGGGTGTGGTTTCTCCCCTTTTTGGTGCTCAAGTCAATATGGCATATATTTTGCCACATTCTCGTCCTTGGGTAATTGACTCCGGAGCTAGTGAGCATATCACCTGTAGTAATGATAATCTTTTCGATATCATGAGTCACACGCCGGAGCCGTCAGTCAAAATTCCTAACGGCGAATCAATTCTAGTTCATGCGGCTGGCAGTTTATACTTGCCCAATGGGCTATGTCTCAAACGCGTTCTGTACATTCCATAATTCTAGTGTAACCTACTTTCAGCCAGCCGCCTAACGAGCGACCTGAATTGCACATTAACGTTTGTCCCAGATTTTTGTGTTCTACAAGATTTATCATCAAGAAAAATAATTGGCGTGGGAAAATATCATAATGGTCTCTATTATTTGGAGTCCCCAAGAAGTGAGGGGGCGGCAATGTCGGCCTCTATTACATCTAACTTATGGCATCAACGACTTGGACATGCATCTAATGGAAAGATGCAACACATTAGTTCTCTCCGGGGTTTTCGACGGAACAATGACTTTTGTGATCCGTGTGTTCATGCAAAGCAGACCAGGCTTCCCTTTCCTACAAGTTTCATTAAGACAACTCGCAGTTTTGAATTGATACAATGTGATATTTGGGGGCCTTATAGAAGTGATTCAATTTGCGGAGCACAGTACTTTCTCTCCATTGTTGATGATTTTAATAGAGGTGTGTGGGTTTATTTGATGAAAAATAAATCTAAGGTTTCTCAATTTTTAATTCAATTCTGCAACATGGTTGACACTCACTTTGAGCAAAAGGTCAAACGCATACGGGCATATAATGGTGTAGAATTTCAAACCAACACTTTAATTGAT